GATCCTGCTGTGATTTATGTCGGAGAGTGTTTTGCTGATGTTCTCCTCTAGGAGTTTTATAGTCTCTGGTCTTACATTTAGATCTTTAATCCATTTTGAGTTTATTTTTGTTTTTGGTGTTAGAAAGTGTTCTAGTTTCATTCTTTTACAAGTGGTTGACCAGTTTTCCCAGCACCACTTGTTAAAGAGGTTGTCTTTTTTCCATTGTATATCCTTGCCTCCTTTGTCGAAGATAAGGTGTCCATAGGTGCGTGGATTTATCTCTGGGCTTTCTATTTTGTTCCATTGATCTATATTTCTGTCTTTGTGCCAGTACCATACTGTCTTGATGACTGTGGCTTTGTAGTATAGTCTGAAGTCAGGCAGGTTGATTCCTCCAATTCCATTCTGCTTTTGTAAAACTTTAAAATGAAGGCTGAAGAAAATCAAAATAATATCTTTTTATATAGAACCCCCACTAGAAATTTTATAAATATATATGCAGCATAAATTATATTTGCCTCACCAAGCAGATTTTCAGCAATTCTGGCTTGTATGATGCTATCACGGTAGATAAATATCAAAAATATCAAAATATAAATATCAAATAAATATCAAATAAATATCAAAAGAATTCATGTTTCCACAGGTTTAAAAGATTTCTCTTGAAAAATAATCATAATTTCAAATTATATTATAATTTGTAGCTTATACAATTTAAAAAGGGAGGAAAGAAAGCTTTCTTTTAAGCCTCATTTGGAAAGTAAGAACAGCTACTAGTCCCCAGGTATAGATAAACTGAGTGATAACACTTGGTCACAATATGAAAAAGAAGTATTTACATCTTTCCAGAAAAGTACCAAATACTTAAAAAAAAAAAAAGGACAAAAAACAATCTCTAGTAGCATTCCTTGGAGTGCAAAGTCAGCAGGAAATGATTACCCATAATGTTGAGTTTTCATGATGAATCTTGGAAGCATTAAAAAAGCAGAGGGTGTTGTCAGGGATTATTCAGATTAGGTTTCTGTGGGATGCCCCATTCTTAATTTAACTCTCGGGTCCAGGATTTCATTCCCTTTATAACATCTCTGGCAGGGTCATGTTCAATTTAGTGCAAGTGCAAAATGAAAGCTAAATGAAACCAACAAACACATTAGGAGCAAAGGCTAATCGTTAAGATCTGTAGTCTTTCCAAACTGTGTGGGCCATCTAATTAACTTTAGTAGTCCAACTTTCCCTGAGTGCCTCATCAAATTTTTGCTTGAATTGCTTGAGTGCTTCTTCTTCACTCTTCCCTAAGGCAAGAGAGTCCTGGCAATGAAAGAGAAAAATGTGATTTTATGTATTCTCCATAGTGAGGTGCAAACCTCAAAGTCTGTAGAAAGGCCAGCTCAGCCATACAGTGTACTCCCTGTTCTTATTCAAATACCATTTACAGGAGAGAGAATGAACACCAAGATATGGTGATAATATGACCTCTGCCAAAGGGTTTTTGCAGATGAAATGAATTTACAATTACTGCAAGACAACTAGCTTCTTGCTACCACCACTCAAGGGTAAATGATTTTATTCCATTTCCTTTGAATGTCTGGATGAAACAGGTAGATAGAACTGAGCTCTATGTTTACAAGGCCCAAATTACAAAGGAAAGAGGTTTATACCTTAAGATACTGTATATCCTTGACTGAGGTGAGCTCAGGAAGCCCTGCAGTCAACATCAGTGCAAAGAGCGTGATGAAGAGATTCCCATGCCAGCGTAAAATCAGATATTATCCTCACAACACTGGTGGAACCTTCAGTTGATGCAAGCAAATCACAAGAGTATGATATCAGAACAGAAACAGCATATTTGCTTGTATGGAATTTTTACTTCTTTGAAAATTGTCCCAGGACTGAAATAAGTTTATTTACATAAAATAAATCAAGCTCTCTAACACCACATATATCTTTTCCAGAAACAAAACTAAACAGAAATATATAAAAGGCAATGTCACACTTAATCTACACATTTTTATTCTGTGAGACATAAAAACTTAATTGTAAAAAAAGTGGCAATTACACTCCGTAATGATTTCTAACCATATTTCTTGATTCTATATTTGTGGTCTGACTCCAGAGACTTAGTTTCTTTAATGCCCCCCAAATAATGTATCTTCCCTTCCTTCTCTCTCCTCTTCAAGATGGTCATTCAAGAGGACCACCCAATCCTATCTCCCTAATATTGCCAAAGAGAAAACTGGATCCAGAGATATATTCTGCAGAAGCCCAGGCAGATCTGGAAATAATACTAGAAATCATTTGTTAAGCTTATTGTATGAGTTGGTCACATCATATAACATATCTCTCATTATCAAAATATCCCTGAAGCTTAATTATTTTTGTCACCATTGAAAATGAAGAAACAAAGGTGAGATGATAAGTAATGTGTTTGGAAACATCAAACAGCCAAGAATAGATCTGAGATTACAAAGTCTTTCTGTGAACTCTGACTCTCTTATCATACTTCACATTGAATGACAGCAAAATGCCAGTCCCTTTCAGCATTTCAAATGTCTATCAACTGTCTTAACAGTTTCAGAGAATTTTCCAATGCAGGTAAAAGGCAGTATTCTATTGGAATAAAACAGTAATTTATCTCAAATTCCTAGCATTATTTTTCATTCTTCTCTAAATCAGAACATGGATCTCACAGGCAAATTCCCCAAAACTTCCTGTTAGCAGACTAACTATCTCCCCGATTAAATATCTCTCAGCTAAGAAATGCTAGCCTAACTGGTCATACGAGAAAACAGTAGATGTGTTTACTTTGACACAAAGACAATACTCACTGGCCAAATTTTTCTGTTTCCTGTCTTTCCTTGTTGAATCACATGAATGAAATCATAAGTAAGAATAAAAGGCACTCGCTCCCTTTTAATGCCAAATTTAGACTTGAAATTTCCAAGAATATGTCCAAAGTCAATGTGGAAGAGCTGAAAAACAAATGGGATTTAATCTCCACCCCCCCCCTTTTGTTCTGCTGGGTTCGGACTAAAAAGGCAAGGACTCGTCTCAGCAGTCTTAGACCCTGAAGTACTACACCCAAAGTCATCAGACACCTTCTCACTTTTCATGGACTCTTGGATCATTTGGGAAAACAGTGCTTCTGATATTCATAGGTCTTTTATATTAAACAATAACCCTGATATTAAACTGCATATACCCAGTGGGAAAGATGAATCTTAAAAAATAGAAATACATGCATATCATAAACATGTCTGATTTTAAAAAGTCAGTTTTACATACAAAACCAAACCAAAAAAGAGTACATCCTTGCCCCACCAGTTCCCTCACCACCTTAAGAGCTACTACTTAGAGGCAACTTCTTCCCACACTTGCACATGTTTTCCCTGATATTTACCTCTGTTTTCCTAAATAGTATTAATATGTTTATACTTATTTTTTACTTCCTAATTTTGGATTATTGTGAAAGGTAAAGATTTAGTAGTCTTGGGATGATGTAATGCCTCACAATGCAGCAGAACTATATTATAATTTATGGTTTAATCAATGTTGTTATTCAGTTGCTAAGTCATGTCTGACTCTTTTTGACCCCATGGACTGTTGCATGCCAGGCTCCTCTGTCCTCCACTATCTTTCTAGTGTTTATATTGTTCAATCTGTGTAAATATATTTCAAAGTTAAGTCATGTGGTAATGGTATATACTATGATTACATTTCTTTCTTTCTTTTTTACAATTTTATTTATTTATTTTTGGCTGTGCTGGGTCTTTAATGCACAGGCTTTTCTCCAGTTGCAGTGGTGGGCTTCTTTCTTACTGCAGTGAATTCTCTTGTTGCGGAGAAGGGGCTCTGGGGCATGCCGGCCTCAGTGGTTATAGCATGTGGGCGCAGTAGTTGCGGCTTCTGAGCTCTAGAGTACGGGTTCAATAGTTGTGGCTCACGGGCTTCGCTGCTCCACAGCATGTGTGATCTTCCCTGATCAGGTCAAACCCTTATCTCCTGCACTGGCAGGCAGATTGTTTACCACTGAGCCACCAGGGAAGCTGTACATTTCCTTTTCTGCTCATCTTTTTCCTTGATGAAACTTTTGTTGTTGTTGTTTTCTTAGTGTTTTACAATCTAGTCATTAATTTTTCACAAAATCTTAAAATTCTAAAACTCATTTCAAAACAGTTTTCCACATGGTCAGGTAATGTTAGTTCCTATCTGTGCTTGGCTGTTCTCTAGGCCTGCCACAGAACCATCACCCTGTACTCAACCTTCACTCTTTTCCTATTTGGACTCCCTGTTTCCCAGGTCCCACATTACTGTCTCTTTTGGTATACACCAGACTTTCTCAATATTGGCACCACTGACATCTGGGCCCTGTAATTTTTTGTTGTGAGGTTCTATCATATACACTATAAGATATCTGGCAGCATCTCTAGCCTCTACCCAGAGATGCCTAAAGAACACCCCCATTTCCAGTCACGACAACCAGAAACATCTTCAGGCACTGACAAATGTTTCCAGTGGGCAAAAGCACCCCCAGTTGAGAAAAGTCTACTGGTTTAGACTTTTGTTCTGACATTCTCCTGAAAAAAGGGCGCAGAGGAGATACAGCTTTTGGAACATTGTTATGTTTGAAAATGGTTATTTTCTACTTTTATACTGAAAGTCTGGTATAGAATTCTAAGCTAGAAATCATTTTCACTCAAAATTATGAAGGCTAATTTCCACTGTCTTATATGCCTGATGCACTGCAATGTCATGGTGGATGGCCTTAATAAGGGTCTTTTCATCCACTATAAAGGAAATTTTGTGCCCTTTTGACTGGATATTCATGAACATCAGTTTTGGGAACTGTCTCTGTTTTATTTTCTGGGTAAGTTCCTTCCCTTCCTCTTATGAGCTACTTCCTTCTTTAACTTTAGGCTAGATGGCAAACCTCCCTGGACTGATTCTCTGTCATTTCTGGATCTTTATTCTACTTATTAGATATTTTGTTCCTTTGGGGAACATTAAAGGGCAATATTTACCACAGTGCCTCAAAACCAGAATCGGGGCCAAACTGCCAGGATTTAAATACTGGTAAGTCCATCCTCTGTTGTATCCATCTTCTCACCTGTCAATGAGGATAATACTACTTACTCTGTAAAGTGGTCATGATGATGATTGAAAGAGTAAACATATAAAGAACTTAAAGAACTGTGCTTTCTACAAGTAAAAGAGGTCAAGAAATCTTAGTTGATCTTTAATCTATATTATTCTAATCTTATTTGTTCTTCTTAACTTCCAAAAATTCCATTTTTTAGATTTTAAAAAATAGAATCTTACTACTTCATACGGTGTCTTTTGTTTTTTCACTTTTTAAATCATCCTCTGTTTACTGTAGTTACTCTGCTTTCCCAGAGTTCTTTCCCCCCCTATTTTGCTAGTTTTGGTCTCTATGTCCATCTGTTTCATGGTGGAGGCTTTCTACAAATGTCTAATAATCTTTGGCTGACCATTCATGTTTAAGATGAGTCACTAAAAAGATGAATGAAAAATCAAAGGATGTAGTAGGATTCTTGATCAGTGGGCTTCCTTGCAGAATGACTGGGGAGAGACCTCAACAGTAAGGATCTGTGAGCTTCACTGAAACAGACCAAATTCTCTTGAGATGAAGCATCTAGTCTCTTGGGAGAGTGGGAATCCACACCTTCTGCAAAGCAAGCAGAAGTGGCTGGGAGTCATACTATTTATCATGACAACATAATCACTTCATCCCCATTTTTAATATGGCAACTTACTCTTAAGCTTCTGTAGAACCTGTGTGTCCTTGAGTCAGAAGAGTTGGTTTCTTCGGAGAACCGTCTAGCCCTTCTTAGAGTTAGGAAGAAGACATGAGTACCTAACTCCTCCATATATACCAGTCAATCCTGCTTTTAGCTTCTTCTCCTCTCCCCATCTTCAGTAGCACCCACTGCCTCTAATTCCTTAGGATAACACATCCATCTACAAGTAGATAGATCTACAAGAAAGCACAGTTCTTTCTCAGCTATGTCAAGTCTTTGCTATTTCTCCATTTTGCTTTTGCTCATCCCCAAATCTGCTGATGTCTTTCACCCACTGTGGCCTCTTTCCGTATTATCTTTTACATCTTCAGTTCAGTTCAGTCACTCAGTCGTGTCCGACTCTTTTCAACCCCATGAACTGCAGCACGCCAGGCCTCCCTGTTCATCACCAACTCCCGGAGGCCACCCAAACCCACGTCCATTGAGTCAATCTTTCCCAGCATCAGGGTCTTTTCCAATGAGTCAGCTCTTTGCATCAGGTGGCCAAAGTATTGGAGTTTCAGCTTCAACATCAGTCCTTCCAATGAACACCCAGGACTGATCTCATTTAGGATGGACTGGTTGGCTCTCCTTGCTGTCCAAGGGACTCTCAAGAGTCTTCTTCAACACCACAGTTCAAAAACATCAATTCGTTGGCACTCAGCTTTCTTTGTAGCCCAACTCTCACATCCATACATGACCACTGGAAAAACCATAGCCTTGACTAGACAGACCTTTGTTGGCAAAGTAATGTCTCTGCTTTTTAATATGCTGTCTAGGTTGGTCATAACTTTCCTTCCAAGGAGTAAGTGTCTTTTAATTTCATGGCTGCAATCACCATCTGCAGTGATTTTGGAGCCCAGAAAAATAAAGTCAGCCACTGTTTCCATTGTTTACCCATCCATCTGCCATGAAGTGATGGGACCAGATGCCATGATCTTAGTTTTCTGAATGTTTTACATCTTAGATTTACATATTTTTAATTAATTTATTTTTTATTGAAGGATAATTGCTTTATAAAATTTTGCTGCTTTCTGTCAATCCTCAACATGAATCAGCCATAGGTATACATATATCCCCTCCATTTTAAAACTCCCACCCCATCCCACCCCTCTAGGTTGATACAGAGCCCCTATTTGAGTTTTCTGAGCCAAATAGCAAATTCCCATGGGCTATCTATTTTACATATGGTAATGTAAATTTCCATGTTACTCTTCCCATACATCTCACTCTCCCCTCCCCTCTCCCTGTGTCCATAAGTCTATTCTCTACGTCTGTTTCTCCACTGCTGCCCTGTAAATAAATTCTTCAGTACCATTTTTCTAAATTCCGTATATATGTGTTAGAATATGGTATTTATCTTTCTCTTTCTGACTCACTTCATCCTCCATAATAGGTTCTAGGTTCATCCACCTCATTAGAACTGACTCAAATGTGTACCTTTTTATGGCTGAGTAATGTTCCATTGTGTATATGTACCACAACTTTATCCATTCATCTGTCGATAGACATCTAGGTTGTTTCCATGTTCTAGCTATTGTAAATAGCGCTGCAATGAACAATGGGATACATGTGTCTCTTTCAATTTTGGTTTCCTCAGTGTATATGCCTAGGAGTGGGATTGCTGGGTCATATGGTGGTTTTATTCCTCGTACTTTTAAGGAATCTCCATACCAACTTCCAAAGTGGCTGTATCAATTTACATTCCCACCAACAGTGCAAGAGTGTTCCCTTTTCTCCACATCCTTTCCAGCATTTATTGTTTGTAGACTTTTGGATGAGGGCCATTCTGACTGGTGTTAGGTGATATCTCATTGTAGTTTTGATTTGCATTTCTCTAATAATGAGCAATGTTGAGCATCTTTTCATGTGTTTGTTAGCCATCTGTATGTCTTCTTTGGAGAAATGTCTGTTTAGGTCTTTTTCCCACTTTTTGATTAGGTTGTTTGTTTTTCTGGTATTGAGTTGTTTGAACTGCTTGCATATTTTGGAAATTAATTGTCATTTCTGTATACAGTTCTTTCATCTCCTTAGGTAAGTTAATTCTTAGATATTTAATTCTTTTTGTTGTAATGGTGAATGGGATTGAATCCTTAATTTCTCTTTCAGATTTTTTATTGTTAACATATAGAAATGCAAGTGATTTCTGTGTATTGATTTTGTATCCTGCAATTTTGCTAAATTCACTGATTAGCTCTAGTAATTTTCTTATACTATCTTTAGGGTTCTATGTACAGTATCATGTCATCTGAAAACAGTGAGCACTTTACTTCTTCTTTTCCAATCTGGATTCCTTTTCTTTCTTTCTCTTCTCTGATTGCTATAGCTAGGAATTCCAGAACTGTGTTGAATAATAGTGGTGAAAGTGGACACCCTTGTCTTGTTCCTGATCATACAGGGAATGCTCTTAGTTTTTCACCATTAAGAATAATGTTTGCTGTAGGCTTATCATATATGGCCTTCACTATGTTGAGGTAGGTTCCTTCTATGTCCATTTTTTGAAGAGTTTTAATCATAAATGGGTGCTGAATTTTGTCAGGCTTTTTCTGCATCTACTGAGATGATCATGTGGCTTTTATCTTTCAATTTGTTAACATGGTGTATCATATTGATTGATTTGCGTATGTTGAATCCTTGCATCCCTGGAATAAACCCAACATGATCATGGTGTGTGAGCTTTTTGATGTGTTGCTGAATTCTGTTTGCTAAAATTTTGTTGAGGATTTTTGCATCTGTGTTCATCAGTGATATTGGCCTGTGGTTTTCTTTTTTTGTTTTGTCTGCTTTTGGTATCAGGGTGATGGTGTCCTTGTAGAATGAGTTTGGAAGTGTTCCTTCCTCTGCAATTTTTTGAAAGTTTTAGAAGGATAGGCCTCAGCTCTTCTCTAAATGATTGATAGACTGCTCCTGTGAAGTCATCTGGTCCTGGGCTTTTGTGTTTTGGGAGATTTTTGATCACAGCTTCAATTTCAATGCTTGTAACTGGGTTGTTCATAATTTCTATTTCTTCCTGGTTCAAGTCATGGAATATGAACTTTCTAAGAACCTATCTATTTTATTGCCATATTTCTGCATTGTCTGTTGTAACCTATCCTTTTTCATTTCTAATTTTGCTGATTTGATTCTTCTCTCTTTTTTTATTGATGAGTCTGGCTAAGGATTTGTCAATATTATTTATCTTCTCAAAGAACCAGCTTTTAGTTTTATTAATCTTTACTATTGTTTCTTTCATTTCTATTTCATTTACTTCTGCTTGGATCTTTATGATTTCTTTCCTTCTACTAATTTTTGGGTTTTTTCCTTCTTTTTTTCCCAGTTGTTTTAGGTGTAAAGTTAGGTTTGTCTATTCAATGTGTTTCTTGTCTGTTGAGGTAGGATCATATTGCTATAAACTTCCTTCTTAGAACTGCTTTTGCTGCTTTGAGTTGTCATGGTTTCCTTCTCATTTGTTTCTAGAAATTTTCTTATTTTCCTTTTGATTTCTTCAGTAACCTGTCGGTTATTTAGAAATGTGTTGTTTAATCTCCATGTGTTTGTGTTTCTTACAGTTTTTTCTTGTAATTGATATCTAGTCTCATAGTGTTGTGGTTGGAGAAGATGCTTGATATGATTTCAATTTTCTGAAATTTACTGAGGTTTGATTTGTGACCCTACATATTTCTTATTCTTCAATATCTTATCAGAAGGGAGTCAAGAAAGAATGGAGAAAAACTTGTGTTTCAATCTGATTAACCAGAAGTCTGAGGGGATTCTTTTAAGTGTGAACACAAGGTTCATCTCTCAAAGCTAAAACCAGAACTACTCAGATCTCCAAGGAGGTATAAAACTCTGAGTCCCTCTGAGAGTCAGAGTTCACATAGTGACCCAGAGATTTTTATTCTGGAATTCCTCTAGTGTCAGGGAATTAAACTGAAAAATATCTCAAATTATTTTATCTGTCTTTGCTTAAAATAAAAGACTTACAAATAGAAGTCACTCTGAAGATTTAGAAATCTTTTATTTCAAAACTAAGAGTTTCTTTATAATAAATAACCTGGTGTAGTTCCTAAGCTAACCCAAAATGAGATTACTCACACTCCATTTCTCCTTACTCCCACAGATGACTATATTTGATATTCTAAAAGAAAAGATTAAGTGGGATTTGTCTCAACTTTTTCTTTTCTTAATCTTTTCTTTCTTTACACCCTACATAATACCTGATTCTTCTATTCACAGGTACCTGTGTCCCCCAAATACAATTTCTTATATTGAAGGAATAGGTCACTTATAAATAACTTCAATAATTATTAAGCATTTAAATGAATGTTGTTCACCTAACTTTAAGCAAACAAACCAATATATGAAGCAGATGGTATATGAAACAAGGGGTGGGAAATAAAAGAAAAGACAAAGACATGACTCAGAATCATAAAGAATCTGAGTTTTATAAGAGATTGAGCTGCACATAACAGCATCACTGAGGTCCTTGGCAGACTCTGGCAAGCTGCTTACCTGGCCAGTTTTTTTGACCATGATGTTATCACTATGTCTGTCACCAATCCCAAGGACATAAGAAGCTACACAGTAGCCGGCACAGGATAGGGTAAACTCCTCAATGGCTCGGTCCAGGTCATCCCTGAACGAGAGGTAAAAAACAGAAGAAAAGATTTTAGTCTCCAAAGGCATGGGATGGAGCCAATCCACATTTGTTTCCTTTCAGAGGAGCAGGGCAGAGAGGAGTCAGCAGGCTGCCTCAGATACCAGATAACTAGAAATCAACTATTTAAACTGCTGTGTCCTGGGGCTCATGTTTCAGTGGGGATGGGGGGTAGGTTCATATGAATAGTAATGAGAGGAGACCATCAGCTTTGCTGAATGATACTGGGCTTTGGAACACTTTTGTAGTTTTGAACAAAGACTAAAATCCATATATGAGTTAAGTATTGATGTTCTAATCATTTAAGTCACTGATATAAATCAGAAACAACTAATATAGACCCTTTAGGAACAAGGCCCTAAATCAGAATCTGAAAACTAATTCTCATATACAAGCTCTTGGATTTTTCCAATGATAAACATTCAAGTCTGACTTCAAAGTCTTAAGCCAGTAATACTTTTAGTGTTTTCTTCTCATTGAAAATTCTTTAATTTCCTATGTATTAGGGCTTGTCCTACACAACCACAAATAACACAATTCCTGTGCTTCCCTGGTGGCTCAGGTGGTAAAAGCATCTGCCTGCAACGTGGGAGACCTGGGTTTGATTCCTGGGCTGGGAAGATCCCCTGGAGGAGGGAATGGCAACCACTCCAGTATTCTTGCCTGGAGCATCTCATGAACAGAGGAGCCTGGCAGTTCTCTGGGGTCACAAAGAGTTGGACACAAGTGAGTGACTAAGCACACACAACACAACACAATTCCTAGTACTGTATTTTTTAGTTTGGAGAGACCACTTGACAAACTCATTTACTTCTACTGTAAAAATCTGTTGAAAATTTACTTAGGTTCATACATTCCCATAATTACAGAAATTCATGCACTTTAAAAGTTTTATGCTACTTGTTAAATACTTAAACTCTTAGGTTTGTTAAACTACTGCTCGGCTCTGAAATTTGATCTAGATGAGGTAGAATTCAATGCTAATCTTCTGTTAGACTCTAGGAAGGCCTGTTTGTCATTTTGATCTAACCAGAAATAAAGCAATAGATAATATTAATATTTCCTCTAGGACACTGATGAGTCTAGCTGAGAGAATAGTTCTTTGTTTGACAGTTTGTTCAGAAGAATGACAAACAAAAATACACGAACCCAGAATTGTATTCTTCAAGCCAGTTCAGAAGGGCATCTTTATTGAATGCTGCTGCTGCAGCAACATTGCTACTGTTCAGCTGAATGTCAGCAATTGTTTCAGAGGTGCTCACAATTTCAATGAGGCCAGAGCGGTCTCCTGTTGCTAAGCAGCCATAAGGTAGCATCCTGAAAAGAAGAAAAGGGATATAGAGAGTCACAGGTCTATGCATCCATAAAATGAAAGATTGACAGTTATCTTTTTCTTTGAATTTTTAAAAAAGTTTTATTACTCTTTATACCCTTGTCACTATTGTATCAGTCATATAAAAAGATATTAGTTCCACTTTCAGTTAAAGTATAAATATCTTCACCAACAAACAGAGTACTTTATAGAACTCCAAAGTGCCAGCTAAATGGATAATTTATTACCTGATTATTCTGGTGCAATATTCTCATTTATGCAGGTAGACAGAAGCATATTAGATAAAAGAAAAGTCTTTCATTTTTACCCTAAATTTTAGAGAAGAGAATCACCCTTTACAGAGCATCTAGGTGCCAAACCGCAGGCTAAGCACTTTACACATTACCTTGGTTAACAGCAACCCATCCTTCCAATGTTCAAGCCCACAAACTTCAGGTAATCTATGATTCTTCCTCCCATTCCCAGCATTTACCTATCTTGAAAATGCATACAGTCTAAGTTCTTTGTCTCCACCCTTCCTTAAGCTACCACCCTAGTTCAGGTCACCACCACCCCTATTCAATTACTCAACTTTCCTCACTAGTCTCCCTGATTCCACACTATAGTCTGTCCTAAAGGCAACAGCAATATGTGCTGCATGCTCAGTCATGTCCAACTCTTTGCAACCCCAAGGACTGTAGCCCGCCAGTCTCCTCTGTCAAGGCAAGAATACTGGAGTGGGTGGGTTGCTATTTCCTCCCACAGGGGATCTTCCCGACCCAGGGACTGAACCTACGTTCCTTCCATATCCCTGCATTGGCAGGAGAAATTCTTTACCACTGCGCCTCTATTTAAAGTACATTCATAGGACTTCTGTGGCAGACCAGTGGTTAAGACTCCACGCTGCTAATGCAGGGGGTGTGGGTTTGATACCTGGTTGGGAACCAAGATCCCACATGCTGCACTTGGTGGCCAAAAGATTATAAAAAACCAACAAGCATTCATGTCGTTCCCCTGACTGTGCTTGTTGGAACTCCCAAGACCTTCAGTCTAGTCCTGCTTCCCCTCTCTTAGTATCTTTCCCTTGTTCACTTGTTTTTACTACACTGGCTCCCTTGCTACTCCTCATACATATCAGGTACAACACTCTTTCATTCCTTTATCTGTTTTATTTTCTCTGCCTGGAACATTCTCCACCAAGACATCTACATGGCTTATTCCCTTACCACTTTGAAATCTTTCCTGAAATGGCACTGTCTCAGTAAAGAATTCCTAAATCATCTTATATGACAACAAACTACCTGCCATCTCTTTCCTGCTTTATTTTCCTCGATAGCCCTCAACACTCCAATATCCTGTACATTTTTTTATGTGTTTGTTTATTGTCTGTCTCTACCATTTGGATGTAAATTTGGATAATTTGTTCACTGTGTATCTTCAGGACCTGAGAGTGTATACAAAGCAGGCACTCAATAAGTATTTCTGAATGAATTAAATAAATTTAACAACAAAATTGCTGTAAGTAATGTGAGTTCCTTACTTATCAATTTTACAAGCAAAATGTAAACTAAATTTGCAAGAAAGTCATCCATTTAAGTAGAAGATCCAAGACTTAAAACTTGGTCTGAGTGGCTCTAAAACTATGTTTTTAACCTGATACAGTCTACAGAGTCACTGACTATATAAGAGGTCTCTCAGGCTGCTTCCTGTACAAAATAATTTTAGCTAAATTGATATGTAGCATTTTGCTTAAATATGATCCCTAGTAAAAGTAAACATTTTCTCAGGTCTCTTTTAGACATTTCAAGTAGAATTTCTTTTGTGAATTAGTTAATCAGATATTTGGTCTATTTATTAGAGGTTTAAACATTTATCTTAGAGATTTATGTGAATTCTTTATATATTAGTATTATCCTCTCATTTTGGTTGTCAACATTTTCTTTGGTTTTCTAAAAACTGTACTATCACTAGAACAAATACAAAATGGAATAAGCAACCTTGTAAATTTCAAATATAAGGCTGGTGTCTACAGAAAATGCAATGTATAGAATTCACTATTTCAGTACATACAAGTGCAACTATACATCAATCATTGTGTTATCTGCTGGTGATACAAAAAAGTGAGCAAAAAAAAAAAAAATCCCTGTTCTCACTGATCAGATAAACCACAACCTATAATGTGCATGTGACTGTTGGGTGGATGAGACGTGCCACTAGAACATGTCAAGGACTAAAAAAGAGCTCTATGAGGAGGATGACGGACAGAGGCAAGTACAAAGTAGAGCATAAAAGCCAAGTGAGGAGAAGAAATGGTCAGTGTTGGAAAGACCAGGTGGAGCTTTATCTGTAATGTAAGGACTTTACCAAAGAGAAAAAAAAGTGTGTTTGTGTGTGCGTGTGCGTGTGTGTGTGTGTGTGTGTGTGTGTGTGTGTGTTGGGAATGAATGCGTATGTTAGTGTGAGTAATAATCAGATAAAAGAGGAGAGTTTCATTTAAAAGTTTTTGAATTTCCTTCTAACCAACAACTCAGTTTTATGGCTCTTTAAGCTCTTTCCTAGTTCTAACAAAATATGGTTGGGAGCAAAACTGTGAAACTACATGCTGACAGCCTGATATACAAATAGGCTGCCTTTACATCTGCATTATTGATTGATTTCTATTTTTAAAGTTTACCCTTCACTAGAAAAGGCAGCTATGGAGCATGACAGTTTTTACCAATCTCCCCATCCTTATCATGACACAGCACATGTGAGGTAAACATGGTCTGGTAAAGTGCACTTTGGCTCACTTTCCGACATCTCCTCCTACCTTACTTGTAGCCAAACTGGGCAAAAGTCCAACAACTTCCTCTTCAAAAGCAGACACTGATGATAGCATTTACTGTCTTGAGGATAAAATGCTCACAATGGGTAGGAAAAAACATTCTTGTCATAAAGACAGTTTGACAGAAGTCAAGCTGGGGACAAACTCTTGGAGCCCCAACTACCTTATGGGGGCCCCCTTTGTACTCAACTTCTCATTAAGGCCATGACAACACTTAGTAAAGTTTATCTTCCTTTCTCAGACTCTCTGACCCAAAGCACAATTTGTTATCTTTCCATTAAAGCAAGAATTGTAAAGTGAGATAAACTCTACAGTAGCAGAGATGGCAGCCCCATCACCCTACTCTGAATGGGTATGTAGAAAGTCTTCTCTGGCCTTGACTCTGACACGCTGACCCAAGTCTTGGTGGTACTTTAGCCCATTCCCTGAAAAGGAGGCAAGTATAATTCTTTTACCTAAGGCTTGCATTGCTTCCATCTTCTTCCTTCATCTTTCTAAGTACCGAAACCAGTGTCATTAGAACTGCTGTGTAGCTCTCTTAAAAGGGAAGTAAACCCCCACTAGTACAACTTAGATATAAAGTCACAGTGAAGACAACTCTCCAAAATTCAGTACCTATTTGATGACCAGTGGTCAGAGTGTTCTAATACTGATGGCTTACAAAAGTTCTAATTTGGCAGTGAAGCTATCAAGAGTATTTTGAGACATCAGAGAAAAATGAAAAATAGGTACTTTAATTCATCCTAATGTAGCACTTTTGCAGGAGCTAAAATATTCTGATCAAAATAGTAGAATGTATCTGAAGATTTGACATTGAACTTAAATGCCTCTAACTTTGCTAGAGGCTTAGTGGTAAAGAATCTGCCTGCCAATGCAGGAAACACGGGTTCTGTCTGTGATCTGGGATGATCCCACATACCACAGAACAACTAAGTCCGTGGGCCACTACTATTGAGCCCTTGCTCTAGTGTCTGGGAGCTGAAACTACTGAGCCCATGTGCTGTAACTACTGATGTCCATGCACGCTAGAGACCATGGTCCACAACAAGAGAAGCCACTGGAATGAGAAGCCCATTCTACCACAACTAGAGAGTAGCCACCTTTCATTCAAACTAAAGAAAATCTGGGGAAAAAAAAGAAAAGAAAAGCCAGCACAGCAGGAAGACCCAGCAGAGCCAAAATTAATTAATAAATAAAATTATTTTAAAAAAAATACTGTGTGCTGGATGAACCAGTTTAACCTAAACAGCTGGCCAAAAGAAAAACAAACACAACACGAACACTGGGGGCATGTATATTTATAGAAACAGTAAAAAAAAAAAAAAAAAAAGAAAATGTTTGGTGAAAAAAACAGCTATTGGTTTGAAAATGGACTCAAAAGAATTAAAATCCTGTGTATTTTTTAAAACATGGGGTCAGAGTACAAAAAGTCAGCAAAGATATCACTGAACAGACAAGTTCCTTTTTCTTGTTAGACACACATGGTTTCCCCTGAGACAGATACCAGGTTTATTTCTAGCACTCCCACACGTGGCTGCCTCCCTTTGCCTGATGTCACAATGAACTTCATTTGACACTAACTGTGCTTTACAGTTAAACAGAATGGCCAAAACAAAAAACTAGGAGAAAAGAACTTAGTTGGGGCTTTTAATTAGTCTGATTAAACTAAGGATAGTCTTTAGCTCAGCCTTTTGATATTAAAAAGACTCATAATATGGCCAGAATCTGCTCTACTTTAGTATAGGAGCCCACTGTGAAGCTTTATGTGCTGACCATGGAAACAAGTGACAAGTTACCAGCCAAAGCTTGAAAAGTTTTCTCCATTTTTTATGGACAAATCAAGTAAAATCATTTTCACTGGGGTATACTTTATAAGAATAATTAACAAACTTTTACTGAACTGCACCAGATAGTAAATATTTTAGGTGCTATAGGTAATTAAATTATTTTGTACCTACAGCATAAAAGCGGCCATAAAAAAAGAAGGAAAAAGAAAAAAGGTAGGTCAGACCCCTCTGAGTTCGTGTTCCTCAGGAACAATTTCTTACAATCACCCATTCCCCTCTTATCTACATAATATTTCTAATGACTAAGTTATTGACCAAAAATTTGCTACCTATTCAAAACTACCTGTTCTATTTTTACTCATATATATTAGAGATTTCTGCTAATTTAAAAGCAAAAATCTTTTAAACTGACAATACTCAAAGGTCCCTTTTAGATGTACTATAATCTTACTTCTGTATTCCAGTCACACCTACAAGTCCTATTTATGGAACAAAACCTATGGCAAATTGTTCACTCTACCTCAACAGTATTGGAAAAGTTTACAATGGAAAAATTCAAAGACTAGACAACTCTTAAAAACAAACAAACAAAACAATGGACAATTACATACTTGGGCCACCAGAATACTTCTATAAACAAAGAGTTTCTAGGTAAGTCTTACCGTAATTTTTTCTGATTGCCAAAAAATAAAACAACTGAAATCAAGTTTAGAGTCTGACAGACTGCAGTTTGGATCTAGCTCCACCACTTACTATTTCTGTAACTTTTGACAAACTGTTTAAAATCCCTTAAATAATTTTCTCATCTGCTGAAAAGGAATTTTCTCATTTGCTTGAAAACTACATGACATTACACATGTGAAGAACCTAATACAATACCTTGTTCAGTCAATAAATATCAACTGTTTTAAGTTTTTAATAAATTAAACCTAAATCGGGATGGGGAATACATGTAAATCCATGGCTGATTCATGTCAATGTATGACAAAAACCACTACAATATTGTAAAGTAATTAGCCTCCAACTAATAAAAATAAATGGAAGAAAATAATAAAAATAAATTAAACCTAAAAAGAAATAAAGAAATACTCCTAATCTTGCAGGGATAAAGTCAACCACAAGTGTAACTGTTGCTAGCAACCTTGTGGACAAAGTTGCTGTAGATACTAAAACACATAAAAAATAATAAAGTAAAAAAGCTTTTTAAAAGTTACAATTAATAAAGAAAGAAAAGGAGACTTCTATATTCCAGATATATAGATCATTCATAGTAGTGGCTCAGGAAGTTACTGACTTGGCTGACACTTTAATGTGCATGAGAAAAGAGACATGGCATTGAGCCCATGAGAGGCAGGATCTGGACTTGAAATCCTACACAAAGCTGGGGCTATAAAAGGGCTGTCAAATGTATGCAAAGAACTAGAAAACGTCTGCTCACTGATGACAGGATATACCATGAGAGTTTGCCTTAGGTCTACCCTGGGCCCAGGGTGGGCAATAAAAAAGGAGAGATTCATGAAAGTGCAAAAAACTCTAGCCTTCCCATATCCTTATGAGACTCAAATATAATATGAAGTATGAGAGCCTGAAGGCAGAGTTAACATAAAAACTGGTTTCTCATGCATAAAGATCTTGGGCAAAAGCACAAACTAAACCGAAACTCATTTTGGGAGGAACTTTCACACCCTAGGGGGCAAAGGACCCTCACAGAAAACACAATATTCACCAATAATGAATTCAAAACTAAATATTATTAACTAACAAGGAAATGAATAAGATTAAGCATATAAATGAAAAGGTGATACCCTAAGAGAGAACAGTATGAAAGAGATGCTGAGATGATAAAGACATGAAAAGGAATACAAAGTATAAAAAGAAAAAAATACAGTATTAACAGGAGAAGAGGTATACAAAAATCAAATCAAAAACAACCCCTAAATAAACGGTTATCAAAACAAACACACTACACTGATACACAAGAGATTAGATAATACTGAAGCGATAATGAACTGGAAGACAGAATAAAAGAAACTACAAAAAAGATAAAAAGGAGAGAAATAGCAAAGATATTAAGAAGACATATGAGACATAAACCACAATGAGGTACCACTACACACCAGTCAGGATGGCTGCTATCCAAAAGTCTACAAGCAATAAATGCTGGAGAGGGTGTGGAGAAAAGGGAACCCTCTTACACTGTTGGTGGGAATGCAAATTAGTACAGCCACTATGGAAAACAGTGTGGAGATTTCTTAAAAAGCTGGAAATAGAACTGCCATATGACCCAGCAATCCCACTTCTGGGCATACACACCGAGGAAACCAGATCTGAAAGAGACACGTGTACCCCAATGTTCATCGCAGCACTGTTTATAATAGCCAGGACATGGAAGCAACCTAGATGCCCATCAGCAGACGAATGGATGAGGAAGCTGTGGTACATATACACCATGGAATATTACTCAGCCATTAAAAAGAATTCATTTGAATCAGTTCTAATGAGATGGATGAAACTGGAGCCCATTATACAGAGCGAAGTAAGCCAGAAAGATAAAGACCATTACAGTATACTAACACATATATATGGAATTTAGAAAGATGGTAACGATAACCCTATGTGCAAAACAGAAAAAGAGACTCCTATGTATAGAACAGACTTGTGGACTCTGGGAGAAGGCGAGGGTGGGATGTTTCAAGAGAACAGCATTGAAACACGTATATTATCTAGGGTGAAACAGTTCACCAGCCCAGGTTGGGTGCATGAGACAAGTGCTCGGGCCTGGTGCACTGGGAAGACCCAGAGGGATTGGGTGGAGAGGGAGGTGGGAGGGGGGACTGGGATGGGGAATACATGTAAAAAAAAAAAAAAGAAAGAAATAGGTTATTTAAACTGATTGTATTCATCTAAAATTACTTTAAAATAAAGCAATACAAATTAATTATTAAAAAAAAATAAAAAAAATTAAAAAATTAAAAAAAAAAAGAAGACATATAGGACAGAACAGGAAAAGCCATCTACTAAAGTTACATACATCTACTAAAGTTACAAGAGATTATGAAGAAAATGGCAATGTTGAAAAATATGGATTCATTCTGCAGAAACTAAAGGATGTGATTTTCTTAAAAAGATACAGTGAAAACAGGCAAATAAAACTAAATCAAAGAAATCCAAACACAGACAAATTATAGTAAAACTGTAGAAACAAAAGGCAAAGAAAAAGTTTTTTCCGCAATGGGAATGAAAAGAAGACAGCTTATTTAGATTGACAGCAGACTTTAGAAAATGACAACAGAGGTCAGGATACTATGGCATAACATCTTCAAGATTTCTAAGGAAAGTAGCTGTCAATCTGTATTTTCAAATTCTATAGCCAGGTAATATAAGCAACACCAGGAAGTTAAGGACCTTTGAAAATCCCCTCTTCTATAAGAACAACAAGAACACTGGCAAAAAATTGTCAAGAATCAACTATTTCAGTATTTGGAAATATAAAAATGCTTTGCAGTGATCTGGGGAGTATTTCTTGAAGCAAATAGCCGAATCTCAGTTGTGTTTTACTGTTACTTGTTCTAATCCCATCTACTTCCCAGTTCTTCAGTAGACATGGCAACAAATGTCCCATAATCACCGTGATTACAGCAATCTGGTAGCCTGTAGAGGGGACAAAAATGGGGTTGGAGCACCTTCAAA